CCCACTGTCTTATCTATGATGTGTGGTACTGAAAATAGTTCAGAATCCTTGGAGTTCAGAATCACCAGTGGCTTTAGAAATCATGTAGTCTGGGCCGTCAGGCTAAGCTGCTGCTTGGGATGCCTGCCCGCCATATTGGAATGAGTCCCATCTCTGAACTCCCATCTAGCTTCTTGCTAAAGCACCCGGAAGGCAGCCAGTGATGGTCCAAGTACTTGCGTGCCTGTCGCCCATGTGGGAGACTCAGATGGAGTTCCTGGCTCCTGGCTTTGGCCTGGCCCAGCCCCAGCTGTTTTGGGCATTTGAGAAGTAAACCAGCAGATGGAAGATTTCTCTCTCTCTCTCTCTCTCTCTCTCTCAATCTCTCTCTCTCTCTGCCTTTCAAAAAACAAAAAGAAATTTTCAAAAAAGGAAATCACCTGGTCTGACCTGCCTGTGTGAAATGCAGTAGCGGTCACAGTTCTATTGCATCTGGGGGAACACTCTCCAAGCAGCACCTTTGGGTTCACACAGCATCGACACAAATGAGGACTGGAACCGGCCAGCACTGCCATCAGAGTAGAAGAGATTTCAGAGGACAGTATTGATCGCCCTGCATCCTCACTTTGTTTATTTGCCTTCACTCCCTGGCCCATGCTGGCTTCCTTCATTTTGTTTTCATTCCACTTTTGTTTGCCCTTAGCTCTCTTCTTGGTCTCTCTTACCAAAATACTGCCTGATGAAGGGGCTTGTAAACAGGTGATGCTGTAGCATGGGCTTGGCTCACCTTGATGGCATTTATGGAAAAAAAAAAAAAACTTGGCTTGGGATTAGGATGGGGAGAAATGTTTTAGCATCATCAGTCCTTCCTTGAAGTCAGTTCCCTGCAGGCACTGTGGAATGCCCACGTGGGAGTGCCAGAGAGGACTGCTGACTGTAGGCAAAAATGAAATGAGCTTATCTATTTTCATTGCTCAATTTCAGTGGCAGGCAGTGTAGTAGAAAATAAATTGGACTATTTATAATCTTTCAGATTTAATCTCTGCTATTAGCAGAAGATGTCTTGTTTTTTTTTTTAATAACAAGTATTTAAATGAAGCTGTGGTCCTAAGACATGGACTACTCTTATGAAGAATATATTTTAATTTCAAATCATTTGTCTGCCCTTTAAAACCCATGAGCTCTGAAAACCAGAGTCCTTGAACAAGTTCATGAGAAATGGAATGAAAAGATAAGTTTATTTTGGTGGAAAACTGAAAATTCCATTTGGGGAATGCTAACGTTTCAGTGAAATACTTCTAATATTTCCACAGTGCCTGGCAGAGTGGGTTTGCAGTGCCGGGTGGCTGCTGTTGCTGCTGCTCTTACTGCTTTTGCTGGGACTACTGGGGAGTCCCAATCGCCCTGCCCTGCCGGCAGGAACCTCCAACCACATTCCAGGGCTTGTAATCCTTTGCGTGGTACAGGAGTTGGGGCTGAGCAAGGAAATTTCCTGTTTGTAGATGGAGCCTGGCAGAAGGAGGGGTGCCGGAAGGAAGAGCAAAGGGCGGGGCACGGAGTCCAGGTTCTCATCCTTGAGCCACCTGCAGGAACACAGGTGCCCTCACAGCAACTCCCTTAGAGAGGGGGGAATTGTCCATCACAGATGAAATCCATAACTTGCCCAATGTCTTATAAACTCGAATAAAAAAAAAACAAAAACGCAAACCCAGCAACTTCCAGACTAGTGGCTTTTAAATTTTTGTAGTCTTTTTTTTTTTTTAAGGTTTTATTTATTTATCTGAGAGGTAGAGATACAGAAAGTGAGAGGGAGAGACAGAGAGAAAAACCTTCCATCTGCTGGTTCACTCCTCAAATGGCCGCAACAGCCGGAGCTGGGTCGATCTGAAGCCAGGAGCCAGGTGCTTCTTCCTGGTCTCCCTTGTGGGTGAAGGAGCCCAAGGACTTGGGCCCTGCTCCCCTGGTTAGACCAGGATAAGTGCCTGGCTCCTGCCATAGAATCACCGCTGTGCGCTAGGCCGTGCGGGCCTATGGAGGCCAACCAATGGGGAAGAGAAGACCTTTCTCTCTGTCTCTCTCTCTCACTGTCCACTCTGCCTGTCAAAAAACAAAACAAAACAAAACAAAAAAAAACAACTATGTACAAAGCAAGCCAGTATAAACAAGGTGTATGTGTGTGTGTGTTCCACACTTACATGTGCAACATGAGAGAGGCTGATTGTTTAATCAACAATACAGAAGCTATCATTGTCACTATTCCTAATGAGCGCATTCCATAATTTCCTTTTCATTTTTGTGATACATGTTTATCAGAATTGATTTCACAATCAACTTTTGGGTCTCTCTAGAAGGCTGGAAAACCCCCTTGTAGTTCCCTTCCCTTGGAATTCACTCACTAACATCCTTCCTATCAATACCAACGAGCCTGATGGGAGCGCTGATGGGAAGAGAAAAGGGGAAGTTGGATTCCTGGATTCCCGTCTTTAATGGGCTATCGCCATTGCCTGCCTCGTTGAGCTGTGTGTATTGTGTGTACTGCAGTGTAGAGGAGAGAACTTTCACAGCAATCACGTGTTCTTACTCCGATTCTGCCCTGTGCAGCTGTGTTCCCTGGACTGCTCACTCAAGCTCTCAGGAACCCATTTCTTCATCTGCAAGATGAAGGGTCTGAGAACGCAACTCTTCAAGGTCTTTTCCCACCCGCACGGGCTAGAATTCTATTATAAAAGCCCTTGGGAGAGGGTACCCAATGGAACTCTGAAGTGATGATGATGGAGTTGGGAATTATTTTATAAGGAGAGGGAGATGTTGTTTAAAAAAGCCCCAGAAAAGACTTTTTAAGAGAAAGGAGAGCCATTGGGAGCAGCAGTCAGGCTCATTTTGAGTTAACAAGGAAGGGTTCTGCTTCCATTTGAAATGGCCAACACAAGGATTTATATTCCAGAGATAGAAAAGTGACTTTAGACAATACCAAACATAAAATTTCACATTTCATGCACTGGCATCAACGCTGTCCCCCAAATATTAATTATCTCATTTCCCTAGCCATTTATTAGGAGACACCAGGAAAAGCAGCCCACGTATGGAGGGTTCGATTGATTTCCTTAGGAGCCAAAATGCTGACTCCGGTCTAATGATATTGATGTGCATGTTGTGGCTAAATTGTACCTATCTGTAGTTGACCGAAACATATTATCACCTCTGAGGATGTGGGTGGCAATTAGTGTGGCCTTGCCTCATCTCCGATGGGGAAACTGTGGTACAGAAAGGTCAAATGCTTTGCCCCAGGTCATTTGAGTTAGGAAGAAAAGACTCCTCCTGATTGGTGCTGGGGAGTTTGCTCTGCTCTTCATCCCAGCCCCCACTGCCCTACTTGCATAACTCCTAGCTCAGTCTCCCACCCCCACCTGGCAGTATTTATGCACCTTTGCATTTTCTTGGGTTTAAAGAAGCACCACATGGCTACTACACTGAAATACTTAAATACACCAGTAGAATCAACTGTATTTACTTTTCGCATTGTTTACTTATTTTCCTGGCTTTATAGAAAAGAGTTTTTATTTAGTTTATAAGTTTTGATTTATTTATTATAAGTTTATTATAAGTTTATATATTTATTTATTATAAGTTTTATTTAATTTGAAAGGCAGAGACAGGAATTTTCAATCAGCTGGTTCACTCCCCAGATACCCGCAACAGTGGGGGCTGGGCCAGGCTGAAGCCAAGAGCCAGGAACTCAGTCTGGGAGCAGCAGGGACCCAAATACGTGAGCTAGCACCTGCTGCCTCCCAGAGTATATATACATTGACAGGAAGCTGGAGTCAGGGAGCTAGGGCCAAGAATCAAACCAGCACTCAGATGTTGCACATGGGCATATCAACCGCTGGGCTAAATGCCCACTCCTGGAGAAAGGACAATTTTAAAATAAAAGTTCACCTGCTTTAACTGAATTTATTCGGGTTCCCAGCATCCTAGAGCCCAAGGGAGCTCTGGAAACCCACCTGATCTAGCCCAGCATCAGCCCAGAGAAGCACCAGGTCTGCCTGTACTGACTCATCGCCCTCTGCCTACGCCAACACAAGGCTTCAAGGGAAGTGCTTCTCAATCTCTCCTTTCAAAGACAGTATCATTAGGATCTGTGCGTAAGTTTAAGTACTTAGCAGAATTGTTTACCTTTTTGAACTTTGCCCTGTCAGGGCTATTCACTGGCACAGGGACTGGTGCGCTCGGCGGGCAGTTCAGGCTTTAGCAGATTTCAGACACATCCTTACCCCTAGTACCTGCGCTCCTAAGGAAAATAAAACTCCCAAATCAAACAACAGAGGAACCTCCTAGAACCAGCAGAAGCCCTCTCCCTCGGCAACTCACCAGGTTTTTTTTTCTTACTCTGCAAATCTTTCATACAGGTGATGGGGGGCTGGCAATATGGGGTAATGGGCCAGCTCCCGGCTAATGCACCTGGGAAGGCAGCAGAAGACAGTCTAAGTGCTTGGGCCCCTGCACCCACGTGGGAGACCTGGATGGAGTTCCAGGCTCCTGGCTTTGGACTGGCCCAGCCCTGGCCATTATGGCCATTCTGGGGGTGAACCAGTGGATGGAAGATCTCTAACTCTTTCAAACAAGTAACTTTTTTTTTTTTTTAAAGAAATACAGAGCAGATTCCTGGAGGTTAACTTTCACGCAGCGCTCAATCACCAAGTCACATGTGACAAGTACTGTCATTTCCCAGGGAAAATTCTCTGAGTGCCTTTAAAAGAAAGAATCACAAAAGGAAAAATAACCTTTGCAGGGCTCTTTCCCTCCTAAAATAAAACCGTCATGCGTCTTGCCCTCCGAAAGACACACAGCGGGGCCCAGGTGTGGAGGCTGTGCGGCTACACCCACTAACACCCAGTTTTCAAACAGCCAGTTCCAGCGTCGCAGGAATCACCAAAAGCCAAAGCGCCTTCCCTCCCATTGGCTGAAGGCACTAGCAATGCCTGGCACCGGGCGCACGCCGGAGCCAAAATGTCCCCGGCCGTAAACGTGACCCAAACAATGCCTGGAGCCCACGCTTTCCAAAGCCTTGGCTGGCGGGGCCGCGTTGTAAGGCCGCGAGGTCGCAGGACTCGCGGAGGGGCGAGGTGCGGACGGTAACCGCCTCCTCGCGCGGTCCCGGGGCGGGCGCGGCTTAGAGATTCAACTTTGCAGAGTTCTGGGACCCGCGAGCTTGGAGACGTGCGCGGGCCGCGGGCTGCTGCGCGGCTGCGCTCTCAACAGGCGATTTGTTCTCGGGTCGGTGGCTCATTTCCATGCAAAGAGCCTGACATCAGAGCACCTTTTGTTGCTAAACGCTTTCTTTAGCCTCGAGGGGAGAGAGTCATGTGGAGCTGGAAGAGCTCATTTTGAAGAGAGGGGTCCCGGGACTTCCTTCCCACTTGCAGGGGCCCCGCGGCCGCCCCCGCCGCGCCCCGCCGGGACTGGCGAGCAGGATCGAGGGGCAGCCCGGGCGAGGCGGTCCCCGTCACGGGAAGCGACTTCTCTGCAGTGGGTTTTACCCGCTTTGGAGCTCGGCGAGGTCCCCACAGTAAAACTCGGTGGTGCGGACTTTGCCTCCTGCTACCCTGTTGCTGCGCCCAGCCCGGGTGGGAGTTTCTGGAGTTGTCAGTCGCGCCGCCCGCGGCCACCTAGACCGAGGTGCGGGCGCCGGCTGGGGGCCCCCGCGGGGTGGCCAGGGCCGCTGGGGCATGCGGCGCGGGGGCGCGGCTCCCTGACGCCGCGGGCGGGGACCCGGCAACCCCGGGCGGGGCGCGAGCTTGTGCGGGGCGAGGGTGCCGCGGGGACCGGGACGCACGGCCCGCGCGCGCGCGCGGAGGAGGCCATGGAGGACGCGGGAGCCGCTGGCCCGGGACCAGCGCCGGAGCCCGAGCCGGAGCCGGAGCCCGAGCCCGAGCCGGAGCCGGAGCCGGAGCCGGAGCCCCAGCCGGAGCCCCAGCCGGGCGCTGGCACGTCCGAGGCGTTCTCCAGACTCTGGACGGATGTGATGGGCATCCTGGTGAGTTACCTGGGGAGCAGGGTTCGGAGCCGCCGCTCCGAGACGGGGTGCGCCCCCTCCCGTCACCGGCGACCTTCTTTGCCGCGAGTTCTTAGGGGGTTGGATACACGCGGTGTCACATTTCAGGTCCTAATTAAAAGATAACCTGGCCCAGACCCCATCTGGGATACTTAAACAGGCGTGGGTGATGGCCTCCAGTGTAACCCGGACACCTGCTGAGAAAGTGGAGTAGCCCAGGCCGGCCGGAGTCCTTATGAGACTAGCTGTAAATACTCCTGGTAAATATTTGGTGAAGGGCTGTCCCGGTTGGCTTTGGGACGAGGTTGGTGTTACCGATGCTTATCTCTTGCCCATTTGTTGGGTGACCAAACGACTGGAAAGCAGCAGTTTGCTTGCTCGGGACAGCCACGATGTTTGTCATTTGTAGCCTTTGCAGGATATTTGTTTTATACGTTTGGGGCTCAAAACAATAGGACTTATTTTGCTCAGTCTGTGCCGTCATGTGTTTGGAGATGTCCAGTGACTTGAGGCCGCCCATGGATTGGGCATAATTTCTGAAAAACAACTCTGACCCGTGGAGGATGGAGCTGGAGCCCGCTCGGGGATTTCACGCCTCGGGGCGGTGGTGGGTGGGCAGGGAGGCTGGAACCTGGAACCGGACGGGTAGGGGCTTGGACGCTCAGACGTCTTAATCCACACTTTAAAAAGGCGACTTCGGTTGAAAGATTTGGAATTGCCAGATGTGTGGATTATCAGAAAAGGCCTTAGGTTTACTTGGACACCTTTTATTTTCTCAGTGGGAGGAGTTGCAGTGCTGAGAGAGAGGCGTTTTGAGGAGTGATAAACTGTAGTTTTTAATACAGTGATTTAGCTCGTTGGCTGCGAAGTGAATAAACCCGAGTCAAAACCCGCCTCTCCCACTCAGTTATTGGCTAAATTATTCAGAAAAGCCCCGCGATCCTCTGTTGTATCACCTGGGAAACACGGAGAAGACCTGCTGAGCAGGTGTCTGGCCTAGAGGTTAACTCATCCCATATTCAGAGTGCCTGGTTCCTGCTTCCTGCTGATGCACACCCTGGGAGGTAGCTGGGGATAACACAAGTGCTTGGGTCCCTGCCACCCACAGGGGAGACCTGGACGGAGTGTCTGGCTCAGCCCTGGCTGCCTGGAGCTTTAGGGGAGTGAACTAGTGGGCTGTAAGGCCCTCCCTCGTGCCCCAATAAAATAAATAAAGGCTTGATTCCTGGGTCTTCTAAGATTGAGCCAACATGATGTGTAACAGGTGCTTAGCATACTGCTGGGCATACGGGAGATGCTCAGTTAATGTAACTTTTTTTTCCTGCATAGACTGTATTGTGTCTCTTCCCCATTTTCAGGTGTCACTGGTATTTATGGTTACTATTGTAGAGAACCAGAAAAGGCTAAGGATTTCTATTGGCTCCTCATACTTTCCAGTATTTGAAAAATACATACATAAACAATATACACTTGTGTACAATGTGTTTTGTATACATGTATACAATGTGTATTTTGGACTTGAAAGCTCCTGTTTTTGCGTTTTCTGAACCTTTATGGATGAATATGATCCACTGAAGTTCCAGAAAACCCAACACACATTTTTAAAAAATAAGTTACAGAGAAGAGAGGGAGAGACAGGGAGAGAGAAAGAGATCTTCCATCTGCTGGTTCACTCCCCAAATGGGCGCAACTTCCAGGCTGGTCCAGGTTGAAGTGAGGAGCCTGGAATTCCATCTGGGTCTTGCCCGTGGATGGCAGGGGCCGCCCAGGCCATGTTCTGCTGCTTTTCTAGGTGCATTAGCAGGGGACTGGATCCGAAGTGGAGCAGCTGGAACTCCAACTGGTGCCCATATGGGGATGCCTGCTGGTAGTCAGCTGAGCCACTGCGCAGACCCCCCCCAAAGGACATTTTAAAGTTAGGATGGTAGCTTGTTTTTTATGTTCATTAAGCAGGAAGCCCATTTTGTTGTCTGGGGTAGATTCCACTCTGTAACTTTTCAGCCCCTTCAGCTCCACCACACTGGAGCCCTGATTAGGGTGTGGGCTGGGGGGGATGGGCCAGCTGGGGCCAGGCTTGCGATTCAGTTGGGCTGAGGGAGGTTTTGGCAAGGAGGGCTGGCGGGCGGCGCTTCCTGAATGTTTGCTTTCCCTTCCCTGGCAGATTCCAGCACTGTAGGGTCTGTGGTGGCACAGTGTTGTTTGGCTGAGTTGAAAGATGGGGTGGGGCGCCTGAGCGCAAACCTGTTATTCCAAGGGCAGATGCGGGGAGCAGAAAATACACACTTCTCACAGAGCCCAGAGTTCCCCGCAGAAAATACACACTTCTCACAGAGCCCAGAGTTCAGTGCGAGGCTGGGAAGAACCTGGTGCTGTCTCGCACAGGTTTTGTCCCCTCTTGTCTTCCTGTTTATGCACTCTTAGTCTCTCCTTCAGAGTGAGCTTGGGCATTGGGCTTCCTGTACCAGGAAGCTGTGAAACAGTGGAGAGCCTGGCTTACCCCTCCTCTGGGGGTGCTTGTAGCGACATCAGCTCAGCAGCGTCTCCTTTCTCTTGGAAAGCCATCATCCAAGTGTCTCCTATGCACTGCAGCTTTGGGGGATATAGCAAGACACAAAACAGTCCGTTGACTCTGTTCTAACCAAAAGAAATAAAAGACTTTTTTTTTTCCATTTTGTATTTCAATTATGGGATTTTGTAACCACCCACCAACATAGACCTGTGAATAGATGGCACATGTCTCTTATTAGTGACAGCGACAGACCCGATCTCACTTCACCAGTAAAGGCCCAGCCCAGCAGGTAGAACCCTTGTCAGGTGAGTGAGCACATTTCCCTGACAGCGTGGACCCCCGGCTCTGGCCCTCACCCCTTGGGGATCCTGCTGGTTCTAACCAGTGAAGGGTGTTGCCCATAGTCTGGGATCACAGTAAATACCGGTGGCTGTTCGGGTTCATTAGGACACATTTTGCATTTAAATTAATTCAGTCCATGCACAGTTAAGCACCAAATGGTTGCTTTCAGATAATTGTTAACAAAGTGCTCTTTGAGAGAAGAAATAATAGTATAATTTACAGCATGAAAATGTTTGAGCAGTGCAAGGATGAATAATTGCTAATAAGCATAGCCTAAATGGATATAGAATTAAGAGAAAATGCTCTTGCAAAACACCAGACTGAGTGCCTGGAGGGCAGGGTCAGTATCTTTCTCACTTTTCCCCCTATCTCCAGTACCTGTGGCTTACTGGGGGACTGGTTTTGCCAAATGAAAAAGGGGGGAAATTTATGTTTTTCTGAAATGCATGAAGACGTCGTTCTGCCGACTGCAGCTACCACTGGGCGGTTTCATCATGCAGACCCAGTCCCCGCGCTTCCCCTGGAAGCTGTGATGGTAAATTGCGAAATGTTGGTAGGCCCTGGGCCACTAGACCACAGCATTCTTGGGAGTTGTGCCATTCTGTGAATTAGCGCTGCAGCACGTGCTCAGCCTGGCCTCGCCCAGCGCCCACCTTTCCCGATGACATGCTTGGGCTTCTGCTGGGAAGTGCCACGTTACTTCCCATCCTGAGAGATTTGAGTCCTGTCTCTACGCCACAGTGACATCAGTTAGTGGTGGTGGAGGAGCGTTGTGTGTAGGATTGGAATTGCTGGAGTTCCCGGGGATGCCCTGGTGGGGTCTGGACTGAGGATCCACCTGGCGAGTGGTCTTGATTCTTTAACGGGAGGACCTCTGCGGCTGAGCCAAGCCTTGAAACCGACTTGTTAAATGGGAGGGCGGTTAGTTAAGTGCCTATTGTTGTGAGATCCTGCGAGATGCCCCTCCCCCAGACCTGATATTTCCTGTTCCCTGCTCTGTTCCTAGGATTTACACCCATTTCCCTGCAGGGCTTAGAAGATACCCACCGTGGAGATGCACTGCTGACTCGCGTGTAAGCTACAGAATGCCACATTGTCGGCTTTCAGTCGGCAGAACGCTTAGATTTGTCCCGCTTTGCTGTTGATTCCAGTCCTTACAACCAACAAAAAGCAAATTAAAAACAAGAAGATCCCCCACTCCCTTCCTTTGTTGTAGGCAAGTTGCGGAGAGGGGGAGGGGCGGTGTAGTTGAGATCCGGTAGGGATTCCTAGAACCCAGCTCCTTTGAAAGGAGTCCATTTACAAATTCTCCCGGGCGGTGGTTTGAGTGGAGCCTGTCAGCTAATGACTCAATTAATTTTACGAATTGGAATTTCAGAGTCAGCCCCAGTTTCAAATATGCTGACTTCATCTTAATTTTATGTTTTTTGTCCCCCCCCCCCCCCCCCCAGCCAGCTGGAAGCCTTTGGGCTTTTGTAAGTGGAGAAACTGTAGGGTGATTAGGGGAAGGCACTGAGGGGCCCTTGGCAATGAGCCCCGGAACTCCCTTATTTAGAATCAGGGGCTCCCCAGTGCGGAGACTTCAAGACTTCGCTCAAGGTACCAGTGAGGACGGAACGCCAGCGTCTACACGATTAGTTCTTTGCCAAAGACAGAGTTGGTGGCTTTCGTAACTCTGGCTGGGTCACTGGGTCTTCTCTGCTCAGGCCACCATTCCCTGTTTCCGTTCACGTTCACGTCCACCTTTATGCTTTCGTGCACCGTTCTTTGCCTTTCCTTCTCTCCCTTTGCTTGGCTCTACATCCCTTCCCTCTCCTGTGGGGCTCATTCCTGATGCTGGGATGCAGCTCCCTGGGGAGGCCGAGGGGCCGTGCTCACCAGCACAGGTCCCAGCGCAGGCCTGGGCCCTTCTCTGCAAGTGTGACCGGTGGGTGTTACTGTCCCCGTCTCGGATCATAAAGATAGCCAGCCGAGAGTATTTCCCTGAAATGACCTTTATAGTTCATGCTTTGCTACAGCCGTGCACCCATGTATGTATTGGCTGTCAGTTGCTGAGTTGAAGCTGTTGGGCAAAGTGTGGGCAATACATGGCCTTGACATCTAGGAAGACAGTGGTGGGCAGAGCTACTGG